AGGTCAAATTTACAGTTCCTGGAATTACTTGCTTGACACAGTCAAATCTCTTACCACTGGTTCTGGCAGCACAAAATCCAGCTGGTATCTGATGAGCCTTTGCATCATGAAAGGACTAACAAAGTTTGATAAATTTTTCTTCCTATTGGGTAGGCAAACAGCAGAAGATATGGAGGAGAACAGAAGAAGAAGAAGAAAAAATAGGAAAACCAGCAGTGCTCCCAGCCCCACTTTACACAAGAACTCCTACAAACTTCATCCAGATTGAGCCATATGTGCATTTTGATTGTGGTCTCTGTCAAGGATGGAAAGAAGCTGCCATTAGCTGACATAAGTCACAGAGGGATACCTGGTGCTGTTTGTGTCTCCCAAGCCATATCTGTCATCTGAATATTGTTTGTTTACACATGGGATACAAAGAAATTTCAAAAAAAATATGAAATTAGTAATAGGCTCCATTGAGAATTTTTGATCAATTGAACTTATTGCTGGGGGCAATTGCTTGCAGAAATATCCTTAAGCAGCCTGCAGGGAATATCAATAGGGAGATGAATTCAGTGGCTACCAGAACTCAGATAGTGCAAACTTGGCTTTTCAGCACTCTGTGGCCCCAACTTCTTTTCTTGGAGGACTAACGAGGTGGAGGGAGCATATTATCTTCCTTTTGACCAGATTATGGCGTTCACATGTCTTGTCTGAGGGAGTGCACTTCACCCCAAAACAGACACAGGACTCACTGGGTTAAGCATTTACATGATACATTAATTTAGGACTATCAAATCTGGCTACAAAAATCCAGATAACCCCTAGATGGCAGAAAAGAGATCTAGAAGACTTGTAACTCTTTGCTGTCATCTAATGGTTATCTAGATTTTTGCAGCCCAGATTTGGTAGCCCTGTGCTAACTTCAGCCATGACCCAGTTAAGTGTGTTATGGGAACCTAACTTTGATTCATATGTTTCATGGAGGTTCAGGTATAAATGACTGAAGACACCAGGTTTGTTTCATTCTGGATTCAAATGAGCCCTGTTGCAGTTTTCTTAAGAAAGACTAAGCAAATTATAGTTTTCTTGAGTGAGTGATTTTTGTGACATAAAATTTCCTCTTTGCAAAATGGCTGATAATCAGCTGGTGGATATGGATAATTACTGAATTAAATGTCCAAAGAAGGCAGTTCAGTTTTGTACCTCAGAAAATCTAGGATAATTTGTGATTTCCTTCTTTGCTATATTGTTTTACACTACTGTTCGGCATTCTCTTCAGCTGTAGAGATGTACCTTTGAGTTGTATGATAATGGGAAGGATGGGCTATTTCTTCTCATCTTAATTTCCTTTTTAGAATCAGTACATATATTACTTTAAAGAATTGTATTGCCTCATTGAAGACACAGAAGACCAAATAGTAGTAATAATAATTTATCTTGCAGTTGTACTTTAATCTGTTTTCTTAAGTAACTCTTTTTTCCCGTTTTAATTTTTCCTTTATAATATATTTCCAGATTTGAAAAACAGCAGAGACATGTATTTATTTAATGGGTATATATAGAGGTTCACAGCCAGGCTATGTGGTCATAACAGTAAATTGGTTCATTGTGCAATCTTTTGATAACCTATAGATTTTGGTCTTACTATTTAGAAACATTCAGGAGCTGGCATATTCTGATTCAAAAGGTCATAAAGCTGAGGCTGTTTAAAGTGATTGGTGGGCTAAAAATGGGACTTTAATTATTTACATTTCGACTTTTTTGTTTCCAGGATAACTTTTTCATCAACATACATTTTACTTTAAATGCAACAGGAAAATGTAAACACAAATTGAACTATACAATGAGTAATTATACTTAGATGCTTTCATGGATCTACATGGTCTTGTAAATATCAGTGGTTGAGAAATGCAAATAAGGAAGAAAGAGATTCCATGTACTTCCAAGCCCCATTTTTGCATCCCTCAGAATCCTTCCAAGTTTCCCATTTTTAGTGGAGATTTATGTACGACTAAAACAGGTGTTTTAAACCTCCGCTGGGCTTAAAGCTTATTTTGTTTTAAAGACCCTCCAAGACACAGATGTCCTTTCCAATGTCACCAGTTGTGATCACATTATGCACCTAAACAGATCAATTATAAATTTAATGGCTAAATTCACACAAAGTGGTTCCTTTTTTTTTTAAAGTAAGTCTCTTAACCACAAAAAAGATTGTTGTGCCTTGGTTTATGGTACTCTGAATCAATTAAGTTAACTTCATGTGTATTATAAGATTAGAAATGCTTCCTCTCAACACTGATTATTAAATAGAGGCAAGTGGAAGTAGTCGCAGTAATGGTAGCAATAGTAGTAGCAGTAGCAGAAGTAATAATACTTCTTCCCTTTTTCAGTCTCCAAAATGTACCAGTCCATACTTGCTATGCAACAATGAAGTTGTTAACACACAACAAGAGAAGGTTTCAAAGACATGGAAAAGCCCTATATTCCAAAACCCCATATTTCTTTGTTGTGAGCTCCAGGACCTATTTCTGTCTGGAGCCCTGTAAAGGAACTTTCCAACCTTTTCCTATTGGTGATTACTTGTTTCAGGTGTACTGCTGGAATAGATAACTTCAACCTTTATCTGCAGACACCAAGTACAGGTGAAGGGTTGCAATAAGTTATGCAGGATTAGGGCTGGTTGTTGCAAAATAATTTCTTACTTGCTCATCTTGGAATAAATACCACTGTATTGTAAACCTAAGTATTTTCAGCCTGCAGACCCTATTTTTTTCCTAACCTGTCAGAATGATTGGCATACTGCAAGTATATGCCATACAAAATTACATTTTGAGACAATTGTCAACTTGTGGGTTTTGGAAAAGATTATTCCAGGTCACCATGATGTTGAGAGACAGTGTCATGTCTGAAGAAATAATGTCTGATATTCCTTGAAAAATTACACTACAGCTAGGTAATTTTTCACAAATGAAATGAGGATGAATTATTTCAGTTAAGTGGGTTCCTGTTGGTTAGGTAGATGTTTGCATTGTGCTAAGGCACATTTATGACTTTCATTTATGTGCTTGTGTTTTTCTCTCCTGCAGTTTCCAATATATAACAGCCTTGATGCTTATGGATGTTGCAGGTGTTTTTAGGGTAAACATACAGGCACATTCATTCTGTCCTATAATTAGGAATTAAGAGTTTATCCACTTACAATATAATTTCCTTGCTTATATCTATTGTCCCATTACATTCATTCATGATTCGTGCTATTACCATCTCTTTTTTTGCCACATTGGTGCTATTAAAAAAAGAGTTTCTGACTGTTTAGTTTTGGTTATATGCCCAGGTAAAAGTGATTCTGCATTGTCAGACTACTTTAATGCAGCATTGCTTTAAGTAATTCATACCTCTAATGCATAAACTGTCTCAGTGAAGAGTATGCCCCAAACCTATAATCATTTTGAGTTATTTACATTAGATACTGTTTGCATAATTTCTTACTTTACATACACTTGAGTTTTTATTACAGTTTGAAGAAGAAGCTTTCTTCATCAATGGCAGGGATATCAAAAAGAAAGAACAAGTGGGGGTACACATAGAATGAAATGTGGGTACAATCAATGTCTGTAAATACAGGAATTTGGAGGGCACAGAGCAGAATTAGAAGCAACAAAGGCTTAATAATTCAGACAGCAAGGCATCATATTCATTTAGATCCATTCCTCATGGTTTGTGGAAGAACTTTAAAGACATCTTTATTCACAGGATTTTCAACCCTAGCTAAGTTTTATTGGCATCCATCTCGCAGGAGGGTTGTTTTATTACTATCGATTTATTGTACTGTTTTTTTATAATACTGATTTATTTTATTGTTGCATTGTAACCCATTCAGTCTTTTGAGTTGTAAAACCCTGTAAAATAAATAAATAATTCTAGGTGACCATTAGTTTTTGTACCTTAAATTCATATGCTTCATATTTTCAGTTTATTGACACTTTCTGTATCTCTTCCCCATGACTATCATCAAAATAAATACACCTCTCTATTATTTTATGGTCATTTAATTGTATTGACACTATAGTGACATTTTCCAAATGAAGATAGATACAATTTATTGCTTTAGGAAGTGTATGTATCTCTCGGACTGCAGGTAGCCCACAGCCACCTTCTACTGCTAATAGCAGGGAAGAAAGGGTGGGAGAGAAAACAGGAGGGGGGGAATGAAGAAAATAGGTTGTGCCTGCAGAAATAGTCAGGAGCAGATTCAGAAAGCTGTACAAGTCTGGAAAAGAATGTGGCTTCTTTATTGATTTGAAGAGAGATGCTTCATATGCACTCCTGTTCTTTGTAAAGCATTTTTTACATACTGTAATGATAATGATAATAGTCATCATCATCATCATCATCTGTTGGAAAAAGAGCCTGATAATCTGAACTGATTATTTAATACTTTTCATAATTATGATCATGTTAAAGCCTTATCTTTAACCTCATTACTAGCTTTTTTCTGCCTCATCTCCCCTAATGCAATGACTTTGAAATTCCTTGCTTGATGTATCTGAGGTGAGCCAAGTTCTATACTCCAAATAAATGTTAATGTATTCGTCCAACCAAATGATGCAATTGGCAGTACAGCTTAATATATCATCCGTAATAATGCTTTCAAATTGCTTGCATTTCTAGCTATTATAAATTATTGGGAAGGATAGAACGTGCCTGCTTTGAATATGATTTCTAGCCTCTTATGACTGTAATAATCATCTTATTTAGATTTGCTTTTAAAAAATCACCTAAGCTCCATTTAACAATATGGCCAAACATTTCCTGAATGGAGAGGTGCTCATATGGCAACAGATCATTACTGCATATGCAACCTGGAGGTAGTACTGAAGATGTCAAACTATTAAAACTCAATCAAATATTACTTTTCTTGTAAAGCCGAACAAATTTATAACCCACTCATTTCTATGATGACATATGAAATATTTGCAGTGTTAATTATTTATGCTTGCTCTGTTTAATTACAGTTTGAAAATGAGATAATCACAAAACTGGATCATGAAGTAGAAGGCGGAAGAGGAGATGAACAATATAAAGTGTTATTTGACAAAATGTAAGTGCTGGTAACAGTTGGATTTATAATGTTGCTTAGTCAAGAGACATACAAATTAAGTTACAATCCTATGATTAGTTAACATTTGTTGGTACAAAATATTTCAAATTACTCTATCATGAAGGACCTGCTCCCAAGTGTGATTAATATGATTTTTTATTATTATCTTTTCAGTCTTTTGGAGCACTGCAGAAAACATAAGTACCTTGCCAAAAATGGTGAAACTTTTGTTAAACTTGTGGTACGGCTGATGGAGAGACTTCTAGATTACAGAACTATTATGCATGATGAAAACAAGGAAAACCGCATGAGTTGTACAGTCAATGTACTGGTGAGAAATGAAATGTCTATATGTAGATTAGGTGTTAAGTTTTTCATTCATCAGTAAGATGAGTTTTGTTTGTGGGGAAAAACATATTTTAAGGAGATCATAGAATGAGATACATACCACATCTTCAGAAGAAGAAACACAAGGTTACTTGTGTTTACTTATGAAGATTATAGCATCTTAGGAATTAGTATTAATTATTATTAATAATTAATAATTATATTTGCATACACTTATAATTTTCCTTAGTATTATACATACAAACACTGGCAGTGCAAACAAAAATGTATCCACAAGATTTTTTTTTAACCAAATGTCCTTTTTTAAAATCCATCTTTCCAGCAGTTTTACGAATAAAAATATTTTAATTTCCATGTTACAATTAGTAAAATGAAGGCTAAGATACTTAAGGCTATACAGCTTTGAAACTGGTGACATGACACATCACTGATTCACACTTATATGTTGGCATATGAAACCTGTTGATTGCTTATGTAGAAAATTGAGGGTCGATTGGGATAGCTGAGAATCAAAGGGCTCCATCAAATCATTTCTTCAGATAGAGTTATATACAAGGAATAAAGCCGTGACTACAAAAAACAGTTATCAAAATCTGACTGTGATTAATGTCATCCTCTGCAACTTGTTATTTTTCTAGTCAATGGAGCCAGCAGAGTAAAAACTTTTATACTACCTGCCTAAAATAACAAAACCAGATGTGCTACAGTATATGTAGCTGATACCATGTGCTTCCTTGATGGGTTCAAATCTTTGTCTTAGATTAACTACATGGATTACATATGTGTATATTTACTAATTATATATATTGTCACTTAATTTGAAAGGAACAAGTGATAAAAACAATTTGATAATAGGAAATTTCAGCTAAATGCATTTAAATGTTTACTATAAATGCATTTTGGTACAGCAAGAGGAACATAACATGAATTTAGGTACCATGAGGAGCTGAAGAATAGAAGTTTAAATAATGTTTTTGGGGGGGTTGTAGTACAAAGCTTAAATAATGTTTTATTGGTGAGTTGGGCTTTTAATAGGTTTGGTACAACATGCAACTAATTGTATAATACTAAAAATTTGGGTAGCATTTGTTTTTAATGCCAATGGTGTTAAAGTAAATGAGTGATGTCAGTAAACTGACTTGTCAATTAAGAGAATATGAGTATCAGAAATTACTCTTTTTTTAATAATAAAAATTTATTAAATTTATATGCCACCCGATTCCCAGCAACTCTGGGAGGTTTACACATAGTTAAAAACAAGGAACAATACAAAAACAATGCAAAACAAAGGAGCAGAGATGGCGGAGGAAACAAACTTGGATGGGAACAAGGAAAACAAAGGGGCATCAATCATTCTCACCAGAGGCCTGGGCAAAGAGCATTCTGAATGAGCTGCAGCTTCAAATGGTCTTCAAGGGCAGCCCCATGTAGAGTGCATTGCAATAGTCCACATGCAAAGTGATGAAAGCCTGAGTAATTGTACAGAGTGCTTTCAGATCTAGATTTGGGTGCACGTGAATCTGGGGTAAAGGCCCTTCTGGCCGCTATTGCCACCTCCTCAGGCAGGAGCTGTGAGTCTAGGATAACCCCCCAAATTGCACACCAGTCCCAATTAGGGAAGTGCAGCCCAATTCAGGACTAAATGTGGAAAGATTTCAGTTACAGGTGGTCCAATCACTCACAGCCACTTGGTTGTGCTAGGGTTGAACATGAGTCTGTTTCTCCAGACACTTACCAGCCTGTATGAAAATTGCCCAGAACTATTGGGTCCACCAACAGCTTCTTAAGTAGATACAATATGTCTTTCAAGGACCACTCCCCTTTGCAATGGCATCATGTAGCACAGGCAGAGATGTTGCCACCCAGCAGGGATGCTGGTACAGCAGTAATGAGGCCAACTGTTCCCTGAAGCCCAACTTAAGTGAAAGGCCTCACATCCAGTAATCTCTGGAGCAGAACCTGTGAAGCCATTAAGGTTTCCCGGATGACAATCCCCACTCCACCCTACTTTGGGCTTGCAGCTGGTGCCAAAACAGGTCTGTTGAGTCCCATCAAAGATTTAGACATGCTTTCTATTTGCAAAATGCCCTGAGATCTGCAACAATAGGGCTTCAAATGCCCTATTCATGGCTCACACGTTGCCTACATACTATAGAATCTCATGATTTTTAAAAAAATATTATTATATTGGGCACAATCCAGAACAATGTCCAGAAAGAGCCAAGAATTTTTTTTCCCCTTAACATCAGTCTCTCCTAACACTGATGTAATATGCTCACACCATCATATTCCTATCAGTAATTCACATGTGGTATCCTATACCTGTCTGTTAGTAGAAACTATACATTCCTATCTTGAGAGGAAATTTCTCAGTTATGTAGTCCATTGAGGCCTCTGATCATCAACCTTCTTGTCTGCATTTGACTTAAGTAGATTCACCCTCATCAAGTCAGCCATTGATTTAAAAACTCATGGAGAAAAGTTAGGTGCCATTTCTGGATTTGATGAAACGGAAATAGAGCTGAGTGGCATCAGCACACTTACGGCACTGCATCATTCTGCCCAGGACTACTTATCAACTTCTTTCACACAGATGCTAAACAGGAAAGTGGAAATAAGTGGAGCTGCTGCCAAGTGGTGTTACTGACCAAAAGAAAGGGTTCCACAATTAGTAGCATCAAAACACTAATCCAGAAGAACTAAAGGGGCCACACACACTCTGCTTTACCCAGCACAGGTATCAACATAGCATCTATGGCTAAAAAGAAAAATGATTTGAATCTTGATAATTTGTCTGACTGAAACTTGCCTAACCGCTCTCAGCCTGTGCTCAAAACTGCAGGCATTATTATTTATATTAATAGAAGTATTTATGTTTTAGACTGCCATTAGGTTCTAAAAGGATGGGGTTTTTTAAAAATCAGAGACAAACCTAACATCAAATGTGTTCTCCAACTAAAGTGAAGTTTTTTTTTAACAAATACAGACAATACCAGTTTTGTGGGAGTGCTAATTGTTGGAATTGTAGCAGGCATAGAGCGGAAATGTAGTCCTCTGAGGTTTTAATGAAAAATAAATTCCAGAGGAGGAGTTTTATTTAGGACTGCAGCAGAAGGAAGGAATATATTCTTCCAGTAATCTCATAATTATCAGCACTCATCCTCCTTGCAACCCGAAGCTATTTACATTTTTAGTATGCTGTTTAAATTATTAGATTTCAAGAATGGATGATTTAACGTTAGTTTTTGTTTGAAGTTTTAAATTGTTTTTCAGTATATTATGATAATTAGTATATTGCAAAATTGAGAAAAGCTAATGGTGCAGGACTTGAAAATCCCCTATTGAGGACATTTTGAATTGTTGTAATAAAATGTTTTAAAAAAGCAATGCTTTCATATTTCATAGGTGAAAAAAACGAATTCTAGAAGAAGCAAGCTTCATATTATAATATTATAGAGTTATGAATTCCTAATATAAATAGTGTATGTAACCCCTTGCACATATGTATAAAATCAAATTCATTAAAACAAGCCAATATTTCTTTTTTTATTCTAGAATTTCTACAAAGAGATTGAAAGAGAAGAAATGTACATAAGGTTTGTAAATATAAACTTTTCTGGGCATTATTTAAGAATGAGGAATTGATGTAAGTGGAATATACATGTATGATTTCTCTCTCTCACACACACACACCATAGACAGATCCCTTTATTCATATGACTGCAAATACCTAATCAAATCCTACGTATTGGTCAGAGTAGGACTGTGGGCAATATAGCCCCTATTATCACATCATTTAATTACATTTTTAGACAACATGAATATATGCATATTTAGAATATAGTCTTATTTCAGAATATACTATATATAGTATATAGTACAGTATAGTGTGTGTGTGTGTGTGTGTATATATATACACACACACACTATATATATATAGTCTTATTTCAGCATATACAGATGTGTAATTTCAAGATTTACTTTAATACTCTTTTTCCACAGTGGATATAATTTAGTTTTTCCAAATATTACAGTTCTTGCGGAACTGCCTCCTGACGGGGTTACTGTGTAACTTTGCTCCCACCTCACGCCTTGGTCTTTTAATACCTGCCACTTTCATGTGAACTGTCAATATGCAGTTAAGTTTTCTTCTTTCTGCTGGTTTTTTGATTGGTATTTCCTCTTCACTTCTTTCTCTTGATACAAGAGCTACTTTTTAGCTGCCGGCCCTTTCATTTGTTTTTTGTTTATCACTGATTTAATTTTTTTCCTTAACTGGGAAAGGGGGTGTTAATTACCAACTACCTTTCTGCAGTTAGAACAATTGCTCATTACTTTTTATTATTATTTTTATTATCACAACTGCATTCTGGTATTCTCCAATGGATATCAAAACCCTCTTTCCCCAGGATATAATTCTAATTATCAAAAGATTTTAAAAGTACCATCTGATTATTTGCCTTTGAGTAACTCTTTATCAATATATGAAACATCTTTGAGATAGTATCTTTCCTCCATTTGAAGCTTTCATTTTGATCATTTACATGTCAAATGTAACCTTTTCAGAGTTAACATAAATTTTCTGTAATTTTGTATAAGGGTACAGAGGGCATAACTACACATTATAGGGTTTTTCTCAGTTTAAAACTGAAGCCAAGAGAGTGGATTTAGTATTTCATTATAACGGAAAGAAAGATTTTCTCTTTCTGTTAATCATCTTGGTAACTCCCACTCCCACGACAATAAGTTGTTGTTGCTTTTAACTTGCATTAGCACCATTAAGAGTTTTTCCTTAAATGCTAATAGCTACACTGAATGGAAATACAGAGTTGTATGACCTTTGAGTGCAGCTAAATAGGAAGTCTTAAACCTTCCCTCTCCATGTAATATCATGTGAACCACAGTTGACCTGAATTTATGGGGAAGGATGGTTTAAGCTTTCCTACTCTCCCACATAATATAGTCACCCTCAAAGTCCTAATGTAACATACAAATATGCCGATAGAAAAATGTTATGTATGTTTTTGAGATGTAAGTACTCAGAAGTCAGTTACGCAAATATGTATGTATTTATTTTATTTATTTATTACAAGTGCTTCTGTGCCACTTCGGTTATGTGACTCTGGGTGGTTTACAACAACCATACAATGCATGTGGAATATTACAATCATGCAAAATTATCAACACTACCAAACATATGAATAACAGCAGCAATAATAAATAATATCAACATAAATATAATCACACTATTGTCATAAAAATCATAATTTTATGTATTGGAATGGAGTCTTATTTATTTTCAAAGGTATCAGTGAAGTCCTCATTGTTTCTTTGGAATGACTTATGGAATGACAAAGTTAAGCTCATAAGTAGAAACTTTCAGTTATATTCTTACCAAAATGGTATTTTGTGTCTCTTCAGAAAATCAAAGTTTAAAAAAACTATTAATCCTTTAACCACTGAAGATATAACATAAAAGGCATTATTTGTATAATATGTGTTATATACATATTTGTATAATATGTCAGGTGCTAAATATGATTTGATTTGAAATGTGAGGTGAAAAACTCATATTAATTTTATTTCATATTTCAGCATTAGAATTCACGGAATCTTAAACCATAATTATTTTGTGGTGGTGTTGATAATTTTATTTTATTACTTTAGGTATTTGTACAAGCTGTGTGACCTGCACAAAGAATGTGATAACTACACTGAAGCTGCCTACACATTACTTCTTCATGCAAAGCTTCTTAAGGTATAAATATTTCAAATGCTTTTAATCTTTAAGGGCTTAGATTCTAAGATGCAAAATTTCTCCAAGAATAAAAAATACCTACATACAAAATACACTGAATATTTTAGAAGAATGAAACAGAAAGCTAGGGTCTAGAATTGTTACTGGATTTTTACCTCAAGTTTAGTTTATTTAATAGGTGAATCGTCCAAGGAATTATGGTGGAAACAAAAGGAATTTTAATTACTCTGTGGGATTAATAGCAAATGTCAGTACATACAGTTAACCAAGGTGTGATTTATCATCTCTCTTGGACTCAGCATGGGGCACATTCATTGTCCCTGTTGATGCATCCTTAAAGATCCCTTGCCTTTTCCTGGTTTGCATGGTAGCTACATGGTCCCAGGAAAATATGTGTTTGAATTAAGGAGGTGTGACAGGATGCAACCATATGTCACTGCTCTGTTGACACTTCCTTAATGCCTCCTTAACACATGTTTTCCTAACCAAGTGGCTACCATGGCCCATGAAAAGGCAAGGCTTCTTTAAGGATATGCTGGCAAGTACAGCAAACACAGCCAGGCTGGATATGAAACATCTTTCCCACGTTGGATCCAAATATTGCAAGAGATTGAAACTGCTGACCAATATTCAAAGTTTACCTTTGTAAACTGGTACCTGCTTCACTTTCTTCTCCAAATGTATTTTGAGTGGGTAGCAGACTTGTTAGCACTGCAGGATGATTGGCTACAACTTTGTCCCATTGTCCAAACATCTCAATTTATGAAAAATATGGATACTTGAAAATCTGAGAAACAGTTCCCAAGATGAGCATCTCTTGATATCTGCCTTGAAGTATCTTTAAATGTTACTTGGTAGAAAAAGAAATTATAATAGTTTTCCGTGTTTCTATAATGATCAGAGAGGGGGAAAAAGATGATTTAGACAAGTCCTTGTGGTGCTGTAGTTGTATAATATAACTGAATCATCCTTATAATATTGTTTGCATGAACGTGTAGGCCTGATTATGTCCCTGCATATCCCAGAATCTGCCAGACTCATCTGCCTTAGGACCTTTGACCAGGTTCCTGTTGAATGGCATAGTCTTTATCCCTTTCAGATGTTCCTCCAGATCCATGCTGAATGACAGAGTCTGACAGGGAGTTCTACACTTGCATAAATAAAGTACAGAACTCCTCTTCTGACTATAGATTCAACACTGCATAGTTTGGAGTTCTGTGGAAATGGAGGTGGCACACACAAGGATTTAGTGTATGTGGGCCACAGTATATGCCCCATCTCCATTCAAGTTCTCATCCTTCCCAGTAACCACCTGACTTTGGCATCTGTGCATTTCTGTGAAGCAAAAACACCATATTTTTCTTATCAACATTTCAATATAGTATTTCTTTGTTTGCTGGGCAACATACTCTAAGTGTTGAATATCCCAATGTTTGTAAGCCATGTTAAAAACATACAAATAC